TCGTCCGCAATTCTACATTCTGTCTTACCTCTAATTCTTTCAATTATAACCCTACCGTATACTTTTCCTGGTATACTCAGTAAACTTATTCCTCTATAATTTTTACAATCTCTTTTGTCCCCTTTCCCTTTATATAAAGGGACTATACATGCTCTCTGCCAATCCCTAGGTACCTTCCCCTCTTTCATACATTTATTAAACAAAAGTAAATTTTTCTTTTTCAACACATCAACCATTTCCCACTAAAGCAGGGTGACCCCAAAACAGAAAGAAATACTTTTACCATCATTCACACACAATCACTGTCTTTGCACCCAGATACGACAGTTTAGATTTCGCTCCCAACAGCCAATATCCCAAGCCTCACCTTTAAAGTGCAAGCACTGTACTTCCAACCTCCAGGACTCAAAATTATTACCCTGCTCATACTCCAACAGCTCGTCGGTCTCAAAAACCATTTGTCTCCACTCACTCCTATCTAATACATGTACATTCACACATGCCTGTTGCATGTCCAAGCCCACTTGCACACAAAACCTCTTTTACTCTTTCCCTCCATCCTTTCCCATGACAATCCCTACCCCTCCTCCCCTCCACCACAGATTTATACACCATCCAAGTCATTCTATTTTGCTTCATTCTCTCTAAATGATCAAACCACCTCAACAACCCCCCTTCAGCCCTCTGAATACTTTAAGTAACTCCACACCACCTAATTTCCAAACTACAAATTTTCTGCAAATGTGAATATGGTTACTAATATCAGTAACATTGGATTACATTCCACTACTTTATGTTAGGATACACCATTTACACCTACCATCCGACTTACGACCTGCTCGACTTACGACCGTGTTTTTTATGCCAAATTTCTGGGAAATAAATAACTATTTGTGTTGTACACAGTGTTTATCCTAAACCTTACAGTATAAAATACAGTACTAACAACATAAAAAGTAAAGTAAAACATTAAATACAAAAATAAAACAATAAAATAAAGTCATTACAAAAATGTTTTTTTGATATTCAGTAGTAAAGTTCGACTTAAGACCATTTTGACTTACAACCGGTTTCTCGGAACAAAACTCGGTCGTCAGTTGGATGGTAGGTGTATTTTTAAGTTAAAAATATACAACCTCAGTGTGCAGTGTCTAAAAATGATTTACGAAAACTATTCCCTGAATAGCTAAATGCTTCAGTATAATTTTTTCGCAACAATGCCCATCTTCCAAGGTAAGGTGATCTTCCCAAAAAAGGAAACATGTTTATTATCAAACCCTTTCTCCTGTATAAATTACTAAACGTAATAAGACAAACTTTCGTTTTGCTTTTTGGGTCACCCTACTTTGGTGGGATACAGCCAGTTTGTTGATAATTTTTTTTTTTTTTTAACAAGTCGGCCGTCTCCCACCAAGGCAGGGTGACCCAAAAAGAAAGAAAATCCCCAGAAAGAAAATACTTTCATCATCATTCAACACTTTCACCTCACTCACACATAATCACTGTTTTTACAGAGGTGCTCAGAATACAACAGTTTAGAAGTATATACGTATAAAGATACACAACATATCCCTCCAAACTGCCAATATCCCAAACCCCTCCTTTAAAGTACAGGCATTGTACTTCCCATTTCCAGGACTCAAGTCTAGCTATATAAAATAATTAGTTTCCCTGAATCCCGTCATTAAATACGTATTACCCTGCTCACACTCCAACAGCTCGTCAGGTCCCAAATACCATTCATCTCCATTCACTCCTATCTAACACGCTCATGCACGCTTGCTGGAGGTCCAAGCCACTCGCCCACAAAACCTTGTTTACCCCCTCCCTCCAACCCTTTCGAGGACGACCCCTACCCCGCCTTCCTTCTCCTACAGATTTATATGCTCTCCATGTCATTCTTTGATCCATTCTCTCTAAATGACCAAACCACCCCAACAACCCCTCTTCAGCCCTCTGACTAATACTTTTATTAACTCCACACCTTCTCCTAATTTCCACACTCTGAATTTTCTGCATAATATTTACACCACACATTGCCCTTAGATAGGACATCTTCACTGCCTCCAACCGCTTCCTCGCTGCAGCATTTACAACCGAAGCTTCACACCCATATAAAAGTGTTGGAACAACTATACTTTCATACATTCCCGTCTTTGCCTCCATAGATAATGTTCTTTGTCTCCACATATACCTCAGTGCACCACTCACCTTTTTTCCCTTATCAATTATATGATTAACCTCATCCTTCATAAATCCACCCACTGATACGTCAACTCCCAAATATCTGAAAATATCCACTTCTTCCATACTTCTCCTCCCCAATTTGATATCCAATTTTTCTTTCTCTAAATCATTTGATACCCTCATCACATTACTCTTTTCTATGTTCATTTTCAACTTTCTACCTTTACACACACTCCCAAACTCGTCCACTAACCTGTGCAATTTTTCTTTAGAATCACCCGTATGTACTGTATAAGTACAGTATCATCAGCAAAAAGTAACTGTGTCACTTCCCATTTTGTATTTAATTCCCCAAAATTTAATCCCACCCCTCTCCCGAACACCCTAGCATTTACTTCTATTACAACCCCATCTATAAATATAATAAACAACCATGGTGACATTACACATCCCTGTCTAAGACCTACTTTTACCAGGAAGTAGTCTCCCTCTCTTCTACACACCCTAACCTGAGCCTCACTATCCTCATAAAAACTTTACAGCATTTAGTAACTTACCACCTATTCCATATACTTGCAACATCTGCCACATTGCTCCTCTATCAACTATCAAATGCCTTTCTAAATCCATAAATGCAATAAAAACTTCCCTACCTTTATCTAAATAGTGTTCACATATATGCTTCAATGTAAACACCTGATCTACACATCCCCTACCCACTCTAAAACCTCCTTGCTCATCTGCAATCCTACATTCTGTCTTAACTCTAATTCTTTCAATAATAACCCTACCGTACACTATATCTCACCCTGCTTTTAACATTTCTGTCATGATCCCGTCAGTTCCAGCTGCTTTACCCCCTTTCATTCTACGTAATGCCTCACGCACCTCCCCCACACACCAGATGTGCACACACATTACAATTCTTATGCTACTAAACTATAACATTCCAACCCTCCTTCAAAGAGCAGGCCCTATATTTCCCACCTCCAGGGCTAAAGTCAGGATAACTGGTTATGGCAAGAAAAGAGGGAATATAAATGTATTAATTCAAGGATTATGTGGAGTAAAATAAAGGCTGGATGTGAAAAGTGGGTTATAGTAAGCATTTATGCACCTGGAGAAGAGACAAGTGTAGAGGAGAGAGAGAGAGATTTTGGGAAATGTTGAGTGAGTGCATGGAGAGTTTTGAACCAAGTGTGAGAGTACTTGTGGTTGGGGATTTCAATGCTAAAGTGGGTAAAAATGTTGTGTAGTAGGTAAATTTGGGGTGCCAGGGGTAAATGAAAATGGGGAGCCTTTAATTTGAGCTATGTGTAGAAAGAGGTTTGGTAATAAGTAATACATATTTTATGATAAAGAGGATAGGTATACAGTCCTCCCTCACAAATCCGGCATCATTGGGACCTGTAGTGTGCCGGATTACTGAGTTTGCCGGATTACAGAGTGGTTAGGTTAGAATACACTTAATAAAATTAGCCAACTTGACTTACACAAAGTTCATTGAATATCGGCAAAAATCAAACATTTCCTCTACTTTGAGCTCAATTTCAAGGTACTTTTCGTCATGAAAGCAATCAAAATCATGTCTATTTCTGTGATATATCTTCCATTCTATCAAATGAGTCCAAAAAAAACGAGAATACAACCATAAAAACATACGAAAACATACTGCAAAGAGGCGGCTAATGGCTGAGAAGTGAACTCCCTTATTTATCGTCCGTCTTTTTTGTTTTTGTTGTACATTAAGAAGCATCTTTCCATCATACATTGCCCAAGTTTCAATGAGATAGCCCAACAAACAACCGAGAAAAAAAAAATATTTACCAAAAATCATATATGGCAAGCCCAAGCCAGGTACTGAAAATAAGTCACTTTGTCTGACTTTTCTGGGTTATTCTAGGTTCTCTATACATACACTGCTATGTATGATAATCTATGTAACTGTATTTGTGTATACCTGAATAAACTTACTTACTTCTAGTCTGTCAACTGAGTACAAGAAACCGCCCATTCACTTATTTCAACTACCCAATAAAGTGGTCAGAAATTGGCAATTTGGCCGATTTCACACAAATTTCAACAGATGCAAATTTCAAAATAGTGTCCAGAATAAATAATGCAGACATTCCTGGCACTAAAATAACATTTTCTCTGTTCATTAGTCACGGCTACAGGCCCCTCTTATATTACTCTTGCTTACCATTTGGAATTTTTATTCACAAAATATAGAAGATTTACTGTTATGCAGACTGCTGCATTAAAGAAATAATTGTATACATAATGTCAATCCATTCTTGACGCCGTACTGGAATTTGGACTGGCAGGCGGACAGGTATTGGACGGTGATGTCATTTGTTTACTCTTGAGCTTCGTTAAAAAATAGAACATTTTCGCTACTGTGAGCGCAATTTCAAGGTACTTTTCTTCATGAAAGCAATCAAAATCATATCTATTTCTGTAATATATCTTTCATTCAATCAAATGAGACCGAAAAAATGAGAATATAACCACAACCACACAAAAATATACTGCTATGCGGCCGCTAATGGCTGAGAAGTGAACTCCGCTATTTATGGTCTGATTTCTTTCATTTTTGGTGTACGTGAAGAAGTATCTTTCCATCATACATTGTCCAAGTTTGAATAAGATAACCCAACAAACAACTTAGAAAATAATAATAATAATAATAATAATAATAATAATAATAATAATAATAATAATAATATCTTTATTTACTACACGTACATGTACAAGGTATACAGGCCTAGCTGACATCAATCAATGACATACTACTGTATAGAAAGCCGCTTGTTATGCTGAGTATTTCAAGAAAATTAGGTCAGTATCCCAGGATAACACCCACACTAGCTGACTAACACCCAGGTACCCATTTACTGATGGGTAAACATAGACAACAGGTGTAAGAAACACACCTAATGTTTCTACCCTGGCTGGGAATCGAATATTTACCAAAAATCATATATGGCTAACCCAAGCCAGGTACTAGAAATATGTCACGTTGACTTTTTTTGGGTTATCCTAGGTTCTCTACACATATGCTGCTGTGTGTGATAATCTATAGAGAGAAAATAATTTTTTTGTCTCAAGTTTATGGTGGAGTACGAGTGTATATCATAGTTAGCCCTGTGCTATACTCCGTTTTCTCTAATATAAGTCCCCAAGACAAGAATAGGAAAATGTATTTGTATACCATATCCTCTTCATAACTCTGTCGAACTGCTCGGTGTTATGCCAAATATTATTTATTCTGGAGTATTTAACATGTTTTATGTTATTTATATTGTTTATTATGTCATATTAGATCAATTGTGATAGGCAAATAAGCTGTAGTGTTGATATTAGGGTAATAATAAAGCATATTCTCCTGCTTCATGAGACTGAGTTCATGACAACCGACAGTGGCTTCAAAGCCACCTTATCTTTAATGGATAATGTACTGTGTAGGTGCTTTACATAATGAGAAGCATTTCTTTTATTCATTGGAACCATGGCTAGGGCTAAAAGTAACCAGGTTAAAACAATAAACGGAGAAAAAGAAATTGGAATAACTTATGCAGCAAGTAGCGCCACCAAACAGTATCAGCAGGTTGGTGTGGCGACCCTGGAAATTTGAAATTATGCTAGCCAAAATTAGTGCTGAATATCTGAAGGAACCGAATAACTGATTGCCGGATTTGTGAGGGAGGACTGTACAAGGTATGATATAGCAAGTAATGAAAGTAGTTTGTTAGATTATGTATTAGAGGATAAAAGGTTGATAGGTAGGCTTCAGGATGTCCATGTTTACAGAGGGGCAACTGATATATCGGATCATTACTTAGTTGTAGCTACAGTTAGAGTTGTCAGCATAGTTGCTGATCCCCTGTATATGTTTGTGCAGCATGTCTGAGTATATATTTTATATAGTTGATCCCTTGCTAGGCCTAGGGGCTAGCATGTGACGTCACATGATGCCACATGTGAGCGTCAGTCGCCCTGCCTCTCTCTAAGTTCCCGGATAGACCCACAGGCAAGAACAAGGCTAGGCTGGGCTTCCCCTCATGACTGCAAATGTAAGTGTTACCAGCCGTACCCAAGTGTATTACTACACCACCTTCATTTCCTAGAACCCCCACGTTACAGAGTAAGAGGTAGATGGGACTAAAGGAAAATGGAAACAACAAGTAAGAGAGAGGTGAAAGTGTATAAACTAAGGAAGGAGGAATATTGGGTGAGATATAAGCAACTACTGGCAGAAAGGTGGGGTAGTGCAAGTATGAGTAGTGGGGGGTTGAAGAGGGTTGGAATAGTTTTAAAAATGCAGTATTAGAATGTGGGGCAGAAGTTTGTGGCTATAGGAGGGTGGGTGCAGGAGGAAAGAGGAGTGATTCTTGGAATGATGAAGTAAAAGGTGTGATAAAAGAGAAAACGGTAGCTTATGAGAGGTTTTTACAAAGCAGAAGTGTTCTAAGAAGAGTAGAGTATAAGGAGAGTAAAAGAAAGGTGAAGACAGTGGTGAGAGTGTGCAAAAGGAGAGCAGATGATAGACTGGGAGAGGCAATGTCAAGAAATTTTGATGAAAACAAGAAAAATTTTTGGAGATAAACAAGTTAAGAAAGCCTAGGGAACAAATGGATTTGTCAGTAGGGGAGTAGTAGAAGGGGAGCTTGATGTATTGAGTAGATGATGGGAATATTTTGAGGAACTTTTAAATGTCGACAAAAAAAGGAAGGCGGTCATTTCATGCATTGGCCAGGGAGGTATTACATCTTTCAGAAGTGAAGAACAGCAGGATGTGATTGTGGGGGAGGTGCGTGAGGCATTACGTAGAATGAAAGGGGATAAAGCAGCAGGAACTGACGGGATCATGACAGAAATGTTAAAAGCAGGGGGGGGGGGGAGACATAGTGTTCGAGTGGTTGGTATTTTTGTTTAATGAATGTATGGAAGAGGGGAAAGAACCTAGTGATTGACAAAGAGCATGTATAATTCCTTTATATAAAGGAAGGGAACAAAAGATATTGTTTACTGAGTACACCAGGAAAAGTGTATGGTAGGGTTATTATTGAAAGAATTAGAGGCAAGACAGAATGTAGGATTGCAGATGAACAAGGAGGTTTTTGGTTTAAAACAGCGACCCTGCACTGTATTTTCATATGGTATTTAGGATTGTATTCTAGTTTTCCTGGTCTCATTTTATAGAATGGAAGAATATTACAGAAATTGAGATGATTTTGATTGGTTTCATAATGAAAAGTACCTTGAAATTGAGCTCAAAGTAGCAGAAATGTTCGATTTTTACTAAATTTCGTTTTGGGGATTTTCTTTCTTTTTGGGTCACCCTGCCTGGGTGGGAGATGGCTGACTCGTTGAAAAAAAAAAATGGTTTCCCTGAATCCCTACATATATGTTACCCTGCTCACAATCTAACATCATGTCAAACCACATTTATGCAACGTTTGAGTCATGACAGTGAGTCAAGGACCTACAACTGACCAAGAACATGGGTGATACCCGGAAGCACAACTGTTGAACAAGTAGCTCTGTGCCCACTTCCCTTCCAATATTTTTGAGGGAAGATCACTTCTGAAAATTTTCTGGTATGCACTCATATGATAGGAGGATTTTGAGGGACTGAAAAAATTATTTGCATATCACTAAGGCTGATTAATGTATTGTAATTATGATTTGAAATAAAATTCACTATATGACAGAATTTATATTTTTTACTCCTATTTTCTACTTTTCCAATGTATTTAAAATTAAGAATAAAAAAGAAAGGGAGCAATGATTAGCCAGACTAATACCTGATTCGAAGTTTCAAGTGCATGTTGATGTGAATTTGCATGATGAAGCTGTTCCAGTAGATCTAAATTCTGCCTTTTAAGATTCTTATTGGCTTCTTTCAATTTCTGGAAATCAGTATGATTCTGAGGTGAGAAAGCCAACTCCTCCTGCAGAACATGGTATTCAACTTCATATGCCTGCAGCTCCTGTCGCAATGAGCAGTCACAAGCCTGCAATTGAAAAAGAAAGTGTCCAATTCTTACTTAGTTTTCTCCCTACATAAAGGTATATATTAACCCTTTGAGGGTTTCCGACATACTAGTATGGCTTACGCACCAGGGTTGTTGACGTACTAGAATGTGCCTTCAAATCTAATGAGAGAAAACTGGTAGGCCTACATATGAAAGAATGGGTCTATGTGGTCAGTGTGCACAGTATAAAAAAAATCCTGCAGCACACAGTGCATAATGAGAGAAAAAACTCCGACTGTGTTTTTGGTTTAAAACAGCGACTCTGCACTGTATTTTCGTATGGTATTTAGGATTGTATTCTAGTTTTCCTGGTCTCATTTTATAGAATGGAAGAATATTGCAGAAATTGAGATGATTTTGATTGAGCTCAAAGTAGCAGAAATGTTCGATTTTTACTAAATTTCAAAAGTAAACAAATTATGCAAAGCGTCCAATACACGTCAACTGGTGAGTCTAATATTCTTTCATAAGTGCACTGATATTATTTATACCATTTCTACACTAATGCAATAGTCTGCATAACAGTAAATCTTCTATTTTTTGTGAGAATAAAAATTCAAAGTGGAAAGTAAAAGAGATGTAAGAGGGGCCTGGGGACATGACTAATGAACAGAGAAAATGTTATTCTGGACCCTATTTGGAAACTGGCATATTCTGAAATTTGTGTGAAAGTGGCAAAATTGCCAATTTCTGACCACTTTACTGGATATTTGAAATCGGTAAATGGGTAGTTTCTTGTACTCATTCAATAGAAAAAAATAGAGTTCTAGCAAAATAGATATGATATTTGTCAATTAGTGCACTGAAATTGGCAGAAAATAGGGCTCAAAGTGGGCGAAATCGCTGATGCGTTAACATCGTCGAGACCGCTAACTTCGCGAGAGCATAATTCCATAAGTTTTCCATCAAATTTCATACTTTTGGTGTCCTTATGATCGGGAAAAGATTCTCTATCATTTCATAAGAAAAAATAATTTTTTTTTTCCGAAAAATTTTTGACCCTGAGAAAGAGTTTAGGAGAGGGCCTCTCAACCCTGAAAGGGTGAACAGTTCAGTGTTGATTTACAGGCCATAATCTGTTAACTGGACTTGATTTCTAGAGATTGGAAGTACAGCTCCTGCACTTTTAAGGATAAGTAATGGATGGTGTGTTTTCATGGATCAATGGAACTGTGATAACCACAGTTCTGGAAAGACAGCTAGATAATGGATAATGGTAAATGCATTTTCCTTCTTTGTTTTTTTTTTTTATCATCACACTGGCCGATTCCCACCAAGGCAGGGTGGCTCGAAAAAGAAAAACTTTCACCATCACTCACTCCATCACTGTCTTGCCAGAAGGGTGCTTTACACTACAGTTTTTAAACTGCAACATTAACACCCCTCCTTCAGAGTGCAGGCACTGTACTTCCCATCTCCAGGACTCAAGTCCGGCCTGCCAGTTTCCCTGAACCCCTTCATAAATGTTACTTTGCTCACACTCCAACAGCACGTCAAGTATTAAAAACCATTTGTCTCCATTCACTCCTATCAAACATGCTCACGCATGCCTGCTGGAAGTCCAAGCCCCTCGCACACAAAACCTCCTTTACCCCCTCCCTCCAACCTTTCTTAGGCCGTCCCCTACCCCGCCTTCCTTCCACTACAGACTGATACACTCTTGAAGTCATTCTGTTTCGCTCCATTCTCTCCACATGTCCGAACCACCTCAACAACCCTTCCTCAGCCCTCTGGACAACAGTTTTGGTAATCCCGCACCTCCTCCTAACTTCCAAACTACGAATTCTCTGCATTATATTTACACCACACATTGCCCTCAGACATGACATCTCCACTGCCTCCAGCCTTCTCCTCGCTGCAACATTCATCACCCATGCTTCACACCTATATAAGAGCGTTGGTAAAACTATACTCTCATACATTCCTCTCTTTGCCTCCAAGGACAAAGTTCTTTGTCTCCACAGACTCCTAAGACTTCATTATACATGTACAAATTAAATAAACATGACTTGGTACTATCCACAACTGAAAAGTAACAGTACTGAATATAAAAATATTAGTAAAATATTTTTGGGTAAAAAATTAACTAAATACATATTATGGCTCAGAAATACATCTCTGTCTATAACATGGAATTCTGTGGGAAAATAGGTTCTGAGTCCTGAGCACTCAAATTAGAAAGTTTTCAGAAATGCATTAGGGTTACAAGTTGGGGAGCAGCTGTACTTGAATTTTCAATGATCCTTATATATGAACACGTCTTACACCCCTCAACAAGAAAAAAATTATTTCATATACACTTTGAATATATATTTATTTTAATTATCACAATGGAAAAACTAATAGATAAAAAGTTAATAAATCTTATTACTGTACCTGAGAAATGATGTTTCCCATCTCATGGATATTAAGATTGGTCATAGAAGTTTTTATGTAGTCCATAATTTGTTCAAATGAATCACAAGCCATCAGCGCTTCCTCATGCGTCTTAAGAAGCACTAGCGCTACCCGAAACACTGCCTCCATACCCTCTTTGAACACCATATCTGCAAAGAATAATGCCTCAAAAATAAAATAAAAATAAAGAGGCTTGTACAGTGATAGTTCAGGATGGCAATATCCTTGCATAATTGACAAAGTGAAACTAGAAACATGGAAGATTGATACATGGTTAGGATCCAAAATCCCTAGGAGGAGTTTCAAAGGCACAGGAACAGCCAAAGCCAGGGACCACAAGCAGAAGATGGGCAACACATGGCCTGGACTGAACATAAGAAAGGAGGAACACTGCAGCAGGCCTGTTGGCCCATACTAGGCAGGTCCTTTACAATTCATCCCACTAACAAAACATTTGACCAACCCAATTTTCAATGCTACCCATGAAATAAGCTCTGATGTGCAAGTCCCACTCAAATCCAACCCCTCCCACTCATGTACCTATCCAACCTAAATTTGAAACCACCCAAAGTCCCAGCCTCAATAACCCAACTAGGTAGACTGTTCCACTCATCAACTACCCTATTTCCAAACCAATACTTTCCTGTGTCCTTTCTAAATCTAAACTTATCTAATTTAAATCCATTACTGCGGGTTCTCTCTTGGAGAGATATCCTCAAGACCTTATTAATATCCCCTTTATTAATACCTATCTTCCACTTATACACTTCGATCAGGTCTCCCCTCATTCTTCGTCTAACAAGTGAATGTAACTTAAGAGTCTTCAATCTTTCTTCATAAGGAAGATTTCTAATGCTATGTATTAATTTAGTCATCCTACGCTGAATGTTTTCTAACGAATTTATGTCCATTTTGTAATATGGAGACCAGAATTGAGCTGCATAATCTAGGTGAGGCCTTACTAATGATGTATAAAGCTGCAGTATGACCTATGGACTTCTGTTGCTTACACTTCTTGATATAAATCCCAGTAATCTATTTGCCTTATTACGTACGCTTAGGCATTGCTGTCTTGGTTTAAGGTTGCTGCTCACCATAACCCCCAAGTCCTTTTCGCAATCTGTATGGCTAAGTTCTACATCATTTAACTTATAAGTGCTAGGGTTATGGACACTCCCAAGCTTCAGAACCTTGCATTTATCTACATTGAACTGCACCAAGATGGATGGGGTTCACTTATCTAGGTCTGGGGTGGGAGCACTGGCAACTGCAGTGCAGGGAGCTGCTAGGACTTTAAACTAGGAATAGTTAGTGGTATGGGTTTCGGCAGGAAAACAGTTAAGTCCCAGTGTAGTAACATTATGAGTTCTAGGGGAACTAGTAATAAGCAGAACGAGGTAGATATTGAAAAGCCAGTGACACTGGGTGATAAGGACAGTAACAGGTTAAGTAGAAAAACAGAAATGAGCAGGAAGGGTAAAGACAAAGGAGAGTCTTTCAATGTTTATTATGCTAATAGCCGTAGTGCTAGGAATAAGATGGACGAGTTGAGATTAGTTGCTAGTGCAGGTAACATTGATGTATTTGCCTTAACTGAGATGTGGTTTAATTAAAAAAGTCAGGACATGCCTGCAGAATGTCACATTCAGGGTTTTAAATTGTTCCAAGTAGATAGAAGTATCGGGAAGGGGGGTGGGGTGGCATTGTATGTCCGAGATCGCTTGAACTGTTGCATAAAAACGTATATTAAGTCTGAAGTAACACATACAGAGTCTGTTTGGACAGAATTTTCAGGACATGAAAAACTGATTTTAGGAGTGATATACCGTCCCCCAAACTTAGATAGGACCAAGGGAACACATGGGAGAAACTTTG